GTGCAGATAACTGTAGCCGAGAAGGGAATCGTTGAGAAATTATACCAAACTGTTCAGCAACAGTTGACGAAGCGCAAGTTTGCCAGTGACACCAGAGGCAAAGAGGATCGCTGATCGAGAAGCATTATGCAGATCAGCGAATTGTTATTTTGCTGGATCGATTACCTTTGCTTCTGCGATTCGCATTTTTCTGTTTGTGTTTTTTTTATTTTTGATATTTTGAGCTTTTTGGAATTCTTCTTGAATTTCTTTAAAACCTTCTGTCTTCTTTGGTTTGTTCAATGGAATATAAGAGAATCATAGTGAAAATTGTATAACTGGAAGATCTATGTATGTTAAAATTTTATTTTCTTTTGGTAAGTTGCGAAAATTTTTATAGGTTGAAATAAAACTTATTTTAACTTGAATTATTTATTGCAATTATTATTTTAATTCTTTGTGATATAGATTGAATTTGGAATAGTCAAACATATATTTGAGGAACATTTTCAAAATTGATTCTAGAGACCAAAATAAACATAAAAGTTAATATATTAAAAAAATAAGACATATGCATTAAATATAAAGTATAAATAATTTAAGTTTATTTCATTTAATATCTTAGTATATGTCTGCAATTTTTATATGAGTCTTTATTTCTCTAAGGCTTCTAGACTTTCAAATCTTGAAAGGTGTTCTACAAATATATTAATATCTGTAATTTATAATTTTGCATAAGCGTAAATAAACTAAAATAAGCGTAAAAAATATGTTATCTCTGATGTGCAATGATCTTAAATGGAATGCAAATTGATAGCTTTTTACTATTATTAATTATTAATCGTGAAAATAAAGTCTTCTTAATGATATTTAACTTGTTGAAATCTAAGTTTTATCATTAAATTTTTTGAGATGTTGCAAATCACTAGAAAATTAAAATTTTCATTGATTTCAATAATTTATTTTCTAATAATTTAATTTAATTAAATTATTTTTTTCCATTTTGTTAATTTGTTATAAATTAAAGAAATCTGAAAGTAAACTGAAGAATTATTATTTTAATAAGAATTCTTAAGAGATTCTTAATTTTTACTTAATCAATAATGTATCTTATATATATATAATTTTATATACTATATTCCTTTTAAAATATCTATATTATTCTAATAATAAATAAATCTATACTAAACTCGAAAAAGATATTAAAATTAATAATATAAATAAAAATAAAAATGACAAGATCTAAAAATATATTTAACAAAAAACATTCAAGTCTTAAAAATTCATTGAACAAAACTTAATTTTTTCTAATCTGCAAATTTTTTTAACTATTAAAAAATAGATAATTATACAATTTTTCTTTTCTCATTCTTAGTATAAAGATCAACAACCTCAATAAATTGTATGGCAAATTTGCACCAATAAAACATGAAAGAAAATATGTATTATATACATATAATATCACCTGTTTAGGCATTTCATTACAATCATCGTTTCGCTTAGTAAAAGAAACACCTATAATTAAAAAATCAAAAAATTTAGTTTTCATCTAGGATGAAGCAAAAAGTTGATCTTTATCCACTCGTTAGGCTCACGTTAAACACTTAACTTCCTTTGTCTAAGGATTAATGCTTTCACCGATTAGGGCACTCCTTAAAGGGAAGCCGAGTATTATAGCGGTTCTGAAGCTTTCCTTCATAATTGGAAGAAACGACGCCTCTTGGCCTTAATCGACGATCCCAGTGGCAAGCAACGACTAATTATTATCCGATTCTCCCTCGAACCACGCGAGATACTTCTTGGATAAGTTCATCCTGTCAAGTTAACGATAAATTTGCTTTAAGCTATACTTGTAACGTAAATTGGATCTTGTGACTGGAAGAAATAAATGTTTTTTTTTTTAAAGTCTACTCATTTCTGTAATTATTGAAGAATATTTTTTGATTTAATATATATATATAATAATTTTAATTTATAATATAGTACATTTTTACATAATACATTTTTTTTTAATTAATCCTTATATTAATTATTATTCCAATATTTATATTTTACAGCTTTCACGTAATTACTTCTTCGAGACAATATATCCAAATAGATCCATCTAATTATATATACGCATGTACAATTTTATTCTATCAATATCTATTTTTTGTTATTTTCTCTATCACAGATTGGTTTTTCATATTACGTTTCTTCTACAATTTTTTTAAACATATTAAAATATTTAACACATATAGAAATATGTTATGTAATCTATACAATATATTTGTTAAATTATATGAATTATATGTACAGTTTCTATTTTACGATAAAAATACAAAATACATCAAACGTAAGTAATAGCGATAAATTACACGACATCCTTGATTATATTCTGAAAATGAAAATGGGTTGCTTAACGAGTGTTGTTTAATTAAGTTTTAATTGACAATCGATTGCAAAGCAAGTGCTAATTAAGTGTCTTGATGCAGGAATCAGTGCGCAAAGAATTGATGAAACTTTATACTTTGATCAAGTCCATCGACCGCTAATCAATTTCGATCCAGTTTTCCTTCCATCTGTATTCTCTTTCGACTCGTTAACGATGAAATTTCTTCTCCACTTCGGATTGTGCCAATGTAACGGTGCGATAATACCGGTGGAGGAACAAAACATTGCCGATTATACGAGGAAACGAGATCGGTAACTGGAATGCAATCTCCGTTAATGGCTGAAACAGAAGATATTCTAATTAGATAGTATAAGGAAATTGTACAAAATCATATGAAAAAATATTTATTCGAAAAATCATAGCAAATGACTCAAAAGAGAAGAATCAAAAGTTTCTTATCGAATCAAGTATCAAGAGATTTATAGATTAGATTGGAAAATCTAGATTAAATATAATTAATCATTAGATAAGTATTTATGCTCATTTAAGATGAAGATATGATAGAAAATTAATCAGATTTAATTATTGAAATTTTAGCATGAAAAAGTTCAATATGTGTATTTAAAAATTTTTGAATTTTTAAATGTTACTATTTGATTTTATCAATTTTATTCTTTATGTATACGTAGAAGCAGGTAACTTCAGATTCTTCTCGTGAGATTCAAAATCGTGATTCTGATATTAACATTGCATGTGAATTTTATATAAAAGAATCAGTCGAAAAAGAAGACTTAATTCAATGCAGAATATTATTAGTAATAATGTTTTAACTATTCAAAATTTTCTTCATTAATAATAGTTATCGAAGAGAATTTAAATTTTTGGATGCTAATAATGTTATTTGTAACCAAAAAGTTTAAAAATCGATATTTTTTAATCATTTTGTTCTTCGATTTTTATTCTTTATATTTTTATTTTTAAATTTCAATAACAATCAACTTTTTATTATTGATTTTTATCATAGAAAATTTAAGAATAATTGTTATTTTTGGTTCCTATTATTAACTTCATTCATTTTAATATCATCTTGATGATGCTTTATTTCTTTTTAGCATACTTCTTGTTTGAATGAAACTAAAAGAACGAATAACATTATACATTTAACGAGATGTAGAAAAAAGAGGGAAATAAGAGATAAATTTCGAATAAAAAAATTTGTAAAAATTGTAACCATAAGAAAATTTTACTTTTATCTAATCCAAGTATCACAAATCGAAATCGAATTAAAAAAGCTCAATTAAATTTACAAGATTCGTAAGCTTATTCGAAGAGTATTCGAAAGAGGATCCATTTTCCATCATCATCGAATCAATGATCACGGTCGAGAACGTTGTCGTTATATTTTAATCCTGTTACAAAGCACTTAACTAGTTAATGGCCGTTTCTTACTTTCGTCTTGCGTTTGAACGGAAGTGGCGGAAATTGCACAAGTTTCGCTACGAGAAACTATCGTAAAACTTGGACGTTGTTTAAATCGAAGGTGGATTAATCAAGATCCAGATATTTTCAGTTAACCTCTCGAACAGTTTTCTCTCCACGCCGAATTTTCGAACAATCTTAATCGTTTCTTCACGTTCGTTCAAGAAGAAAAAATTGTGGAATAAGTGTCTTGATAAATGATAAATATAATTTTGATAAAAACAATATATATATATAAAGAATATGATGTACAAGCTGTGTTCATATTAGATTAGATTTTTCTCGAAATTGGTTTTGAAAGTTTCTGAAAAATGTAAGAAAGGAAAGAATTTTAATGATATTTTATGATATTATATATTTCGTTTTCTATGTTATTTAAAAAACGAAAGTGAATTTCAGTTTTTTAAATAGAATATTATATATAATATTATAAGAAATAATATACAAAATAATATTATGATTAGTGATTCAATATAATTCAATACATGAATATAAGTGAAATTCAATGGAATTCATTTCGATTTTAAGATTTTATATTATTAGAATATTATTACTAAGAATAATTCGTTTTGGTATTTTATTTTTGTAGGCTGATTTCGAACAATTTCTAATAAACTATATTTTTTCTTTATTATTCTTATAATTCTTGTCACTCATATTAATCAATAAAATATTTCCATTCTCTGTAGCATTAGTAAACTTTTTTTGACTTCATAATTATAATTGAAATTAAACGATTTCAATTCTAATTTGATATTCAAGAAAATATTAAATATAATTCAAGCAAAATGATTTTTAAACTCTTTTAAAACAATCGATACAGACATTGCATTGAATTTTTTAAAGACTCAAAGAAAAAATAAAAAATTACTTTTTTACTATATAAGAATCATTTTAAAAAATGAAATAAATAAGATAAATGATTTATTCCTAAATTATAATATCTTTGACATAGATTATAAAATATAAAAATTCTTCTTTTATAAAAAAGAAATTTCAATTACTTTTAAATAAATTAAATAAGTTTGACAAGCATAGGATTTATTAATTATTATTAATAAATTATTATTTATTAATTAAAATGTCCACAATCGTGGAATATTTTCACGTAAGAATATTTCAATTTCTCGAGAATTTATCAATTAATCAACGTTATAAATGTTTTCAGATAACGTATCAACGAATGGACGATTAAATTTTCCGCAATAATCTTAAGGGATGGCCTTTCGCACAAACTGCGCTGCTCCTTTGATTTTCGTTTCCACGGGGAAAGATATATGACCGGAACATAAACCGACAGTTACGAAAGATCTAACGTCGTTCTCCCTCGACAGTCACGTCCCTGTCAATCATCCTTGCCTGGAAATTTACCGATAAATCCCCTCGAGGTGTTCATTATCGATGCAGCTGGAATTATTGTTCTAGATACGCGGCCGATCGTGAAGGAGAGAATAAATTTCGCGACAAGCGACCTGTACGGTCCAACACGAAGAAAATTTTTATTATTAGAGATGTAAAAAAAGCGTTGTTTTCAACCGATGAGTTGTATATGTACACATTTTATTGATCCTTTAATTATTTGTTAATAAAATTCTTTCATGAAGAATATGTACAAAAATAAATAAGTAAATTTCTAGTATTGAAATAATAGAAAGGAAAATAATGGATAATGTTTGACAATAAGTTTCATACGAATGTATATCATTGATATTGTTAAAGAAGTGAAACAATTGAAAATTAAATTTGTGTATTTTTTAATTTTGATCCACGTGATTTTTTTCTTTTTCTTAAAAATCAAAAGCAATCAACAATGTCTAAAAAATTTTAATAACTAATTGAAAATAATTTCAATTCAAAAACATTGTTTTCAGGATTAAAAATATTTTCTTTGGTATATAGTTCTTCAAAGAAAGATATGTATTTTTCATAAAGAGAAAGATCACTAATATTATTAGTTTTTAAATAGAATTTATTTATATAACATTTCTTTGTCAATTTTGATGGGCTTGAAATTTATTAATTATTTGTATTATACATATATATATACATATTCGCGATAACTATAGCTATATATATTTACTATTTCAAATATTATTATATTGTATAAAATTTTAAATTTATAAGAATAATAATAATTTGCATAATTATTACTTCTTTTTATTACAAATCAAAATATTTTAAATAATATAATACAATTACAAATTAATATTATAAATAATACAATTATAATAAAAATTTTGGCAACTCAACTCTTCTTCTAACCAAACAATAATCTTTCTATTTGTTCATTCTATTTATCTGTAAAGAATTAATTTATATAGGGAATATCATTACTCGTACGCGTTGCAAAATGAATGAACAGACAGATACCAGGCATTCAATTTTTCCATTAAATCAAATTTTCACGGGACAAGATAGATACGAGTTTAATTAAACCCTGCAGGCATGTTTCTTTTTAGAAAATTACCATTTCGCTGACGGTTAAATATTTCATCCATTAAAGCAATTTTTTTCGAAACGCAACATGTAAACTCGTGTTCAACGGGATAGAATATTTACTTCGACGTGCATTAATTTGATAAAAATATTTCATTTCTGTTCCGTTTCGAATATTCCATTCTTGCGAAAATTGAAACGAAAATTTCGAAATAAACTGTTACGTTTTCAAGAAAAAATTTAAATAAATAATTTGTAAAAGAAAAAAAAAGAATAAACGAATAAAAATCGATTGGATATTAAAATCATCAATAAAGAATCAAAGTAAAATAAATATTGAGCGAAATTATTTCTTTTTTATACATTTTACATATTTTACTGACATAAATATATTATTTTATTTATCAGATCATTAACTAGATCATATATTTAATTATTTTTTATATAAAATTATAAGTTTATTTATAAATAAATTCGACTTTTGGATAAAATAGATAATAAAGATGATTATCTATATTAATTTAATAAACACAATTTTGATACATAAACAGTTTAATCCTTCTATGATGCAAGATTTATGTAATCAGTTTAAATATTTGAAGCATCCAGTAGAAGAATTTGATTATAACTTTATATATTATATACTAACTATTAATTATTCTATGCTATGTGAATGAATACGAACAAAACATGTTATGATCAAGTTTTAATGTTATTCATTTTTTAATGCTATTTTATGATATTTTATTTAATAGTTATAAAATTTATAAAGATTATAAAATTATTTGTATATTTTGAAAATAATAATCATAATTTCCGATGTTGCAAGAAAAAAAATATGTCTAAATGTCAAATATCAATAAATTTTTAGTATTTGAAATTTCTTTCTTTAAGAATTTATTTTATTTTTTGAACATTGATCAAAATAAGATTCAAGATCAAAAAATTGAAAATTAAAAAGTTCAAGCTTTAATTTAATTTTTCATATTTATTTAATAAACAAAGTTATTTGAAATTTAAAGAATATGAAAACTAAAAGTAATAAATAAAATTTAATTACGAATTGAAATTCTGTTGAAATTCTATCGAAAAATATATAATTATTACATAACAAAAATCTTATTTATATTATCAACTCTTCTTATGTTATAACAAAAAAATTCACATATATCAGCAAATAGAAAGAAACAAAAATATTTGCCACATTCACTTTTTCACCATTTTATTTTTTACTTAGCCTATGGTTATGAAAAAACTCACAGGTGATCTCGATGTAAAATCGAAATCGAGATTCGATATTACTGTGAAGTTGCGATCCATCGCAACTCGAAAAAGTGTTACCAGATCCAATGGCCCAATGGCTGACGTGATGACGTAAGAGAGTAGGCCTTCTTGAGAGAAACTTCAGTATTCGGTCACAAGTGGCGCGGCAACACGTTCTTTCGACGACGTTCTCGATAACTTTGTAAATTATGCATGACACGGTTTGGCGTGAACCTCTCGATACATCCGCTCCACGAGGAAAAAAGTTGAAGATAAAAAGAGTCAAAGAACAAGTAAATGGCGTGGAGGAAAAGAAGCTTAACGGTGCACGATCTTGTCGAAGTAAGATCTTCGAGAGGGACCGAAAAGAGAGATCCTTTTTAAAATTCAAGAGAACATCGTTCGATGCGAATTTCGACTAGTAAGTGCAGTAAGTTACTAACTGCTCATCAAAAATGCATAGCATAATTTTTAAAAGAATAGGCCAATTATTTTTTAAACGCAAATTAGATTTAATTAATAGAAAATATGTAAAGAAATTTGATAATATATTAGATATATTATATAACTATGTCGTTATTTATTATATTTTTATATTTATTAAAATATAAAATTAAAGGTTATGTCTGTCTATATTATATGTATATATATTATATATTACTTATATTATTATATACTGTTTCCACTTATTTATACACTTTTTGTTTTTGTATTTATTTTCATTTCCATATTCTTTGTTTTATTATTTCTTTCAGCTTTGTCTTTATATTACTATTATAAAGACAACATATATTCAATGTTTTTCGACAAAATTTTAATTGGGCTCAATTGACTTATTAGATGGTTTCTCTTTGCTTTTCTTTTTTTATTTTTTTTCCCTGTTTTCTCATACTTTTCTGTTTTTCCTTTCTATATACTTTCTTTCTTTTTTATCTATGTTTTTATCTTTTTCGATCTTTTTAAGGATTTGCATATTTCGCTATGTAAAGATTCGCTAATAAGTAGCATTATTGCATTAAAGATATACGTGATTATTATCTTATTATTATTATTAATATTAATAATATATACAATGTTATCATTATTATACTATGTTTATTTAATTGAGAAAAGAATTATCTCTATATTTCTATCTCATATAAAAGAATATAATATAATCTATTTTCTTTAAAAAGAAATTTAAAAAATGTTTCACATTTATTATAACACTATATTTATATAATACATATAAATTTATATTTTATAATTTCAACTTTCCTGTTCCAATTCTAAACATTTTTTTATATGATAAATAGTAATTGTTAAATTGATAAATCTTAATTTCAATTTTTAGCGAATTTTTCAAAAAAATATATACAAAATATTGAGAATAGATTCAAAATCTTTTACTATTAAAGAAAATTTTCTTTATATTAAAAATAGTAATTTAAAAAACTGTCGAAAAATAAATCTTCACTCTTTGTCTATTTTAAAATACTGAATTTTAACATCAAGTATATAGAAGTTAATTTTCTCGAAACTTGTGTAAGTAAACTTATATAGTTTATCTCATCTACGATACTTATCTCTTCCTGATTTACCCTAATTTAAAAACACACGAGCTCCAGCACCGAGATAAAAGCAAGTCCTTGTAAAAGAAAGCATCGAGACGGAAATCCTGATTGCAATACGAGTAAGGTATCTAAACGAAAGTTTTCTTCCTCTCTTGCCATTGTTAATGACTCTTATACCTCAACCTCACCGTTTTATCTATCCTCTATGAAAGTGATTTTAAAAGAAATGAAATTTAAACTCGATATTTGTTCCGAAAAGTTGATCAACGTTTTCAACGACGTAGCGATCTCTAGTAACAAGAGCAAGAGGGCGCCTCGATCGATTACGACTCGATTTAAAACCGTTCTCGTGTTGGCGCAGGTTGGACGAATTGTTTTGTCAATGGAAATCGATCGGTTTCGAAGCTAATTTATCGTTGGTGCACTCGCGTTTTTCCAGCCGTTCTCTGGTTTTGTGTATCTTCGCTCGAAAATAAATACACGATGAAAGATAGCCTGTTTTTTTTTTTAGCACGATTCGATTCGCGAAATATCGATTCTTCATTCTGAATGCAATCCCCCCTTGAATGAGGACATGTTAATTTTAAATGAACGAAATTTGAATGGGATTTTATATGAGCTAGACGAATATGGAAAATATAAAGGGTAAATATTTATAAAATTATATATATTATTGATCTCAATTATTTTTTTTAATATACTGTCAAGGTCATCATATTGAATAAATGTTATGATTTGATTTAACAATTTTAATTTTAATTAATTTTTTTAATCTGCCATTAATTCTCCGTAGCAATGAACCTAACCTAATTTAAAAGTTTCAAATAAATTGTTTTTTGTTAATGAACAACGATTGCTGCAAATAAAATTTTCACAATGCTAAACAAATATCAGAATGATTTGATAATACATTAAAAAAGTTATTAAGACCAGTGGTTGGTACGTTTTTCTAAATAATTATCGAAAAGTTACATAGCTAAATTCGATGTAACGATATGCAGAACGAAGTGATTTCAAATATGAAACATTTGTCAAGATGTGTGAAACGTTTGTTTGCATGCGAACAATGTGTTTCATAGAATTGGAATAAACGAAATTTACCTGTGAGGCTTCTTCGAGTTACGGATGCACGTACTACTAAGGTGAAATCTGGTTGGCGATCCGTCTAAAACGACAAACACGGCAACCCCTAATCAAGCTCATTGCGGCAAAGCTTGCACGTAATTAAACATACGCGCCGCGGTGAATACAAACGATGCCTTTATCTCGAAACTCGATGAAACTTCCTTTGAAGTCGTTTCAAATTTTGTGATCTGAGGATTGTTATCTCTCTCTGGTTTTTTATTTGGACTTATATACGGATTTTATTATAAATGTAGTATTCTTATATGTGCAATATCTATCTCTCA